GGGAATATGTGGATGATCCATAGAATAATCCTCAGAAATATTCCTGGAACATGCTAGAAATAATCCTGGAATAATCGAAGAATATTCCTAGTGGAACATACTTAGATCATTTTTACTATTATTCCAGGAATATCTAGGATATTCGTGGAATAATCTTAGAATATTTATAGAGAATATACTTACAATATTACTTATGTTTATTCCAGGAATATTTGGCATATTCTTATATTATACAGGGGATATTCTTGGTGGATTATGTCAGAACTACTCTTTGGGATTATTCCTAGAATATTCCAGACATATCTAGAATATCCTCATTTTCAGAATAGAATATTCTGGGATTGACATCCTGGATTATTCCAAGAATATTCTATTTGTATTTCAGAGAAATGGCTTGCTGGCAAATTCTACAACTGAATATATCAGTATTAAACTGTACAAAAATAACAAACATGTTAAGGTTATTGTCACATAAATAAAATATTATTCATTCTAAATGAGTGATTTCTCATGTTCTATGAAAATTTAGTACTAATTAATGGCACCGAAACATGAACAGTGGTAAGATCTAATAAAAAGAAAAAATCAGTTGTCAGATATCAGTAAAAAAAGTATGTACAGTTTAATCCTAATTGATAGCATTCAATACAATTTGTTAAGTTGTTCCTGTTGATTTTTATAAATGGGATTTGTATTAGGAGTAGTAAAACATTCTAACTATGTACTTATACCTATATTAACACAAAATAAAAAAAACTAATTTCCAAAAATAAAACAAAATTTAAAAAAAAAAACAAAATATAAACGTGATGATGTCATTCCACGTCATGATGTCATTCCAGGTCATTTCCATTTCTAAAAAAAAAAAAAAAAAAAAAAAAAAATAATGAGAAGAAATCAGAGCAGAAAATATTTTATTTAATTTGTAATTTTAAAATTATACTAGTGCCCAATTTCCCGTTACCGGAGGGGCTAGCGGCGAGAGTAGTGATGGGCATTTACGCTCTCGCAGTTAAGCAGTGATCTCTCCGGTCACGGTTTGGATGGGTGACCGAACTCGTAGAGTGCGGGGCCCATCCAAACGGTGGAATGAATGGGAGAATAAATGAGAAGATTGAATAAGAAGGAGTAGGGCATCCAAATGGTGGTACAATAAGCCAGTGAGGCTTCAGTGCCACCATGCGAACCCCAAGAGGGAAAAAGCAGATTGGAACCCAATCTTGCTTGGGGGAGCCCCCGGTCTGGAACCAAGCCTGATTGGGGGGATAAGCTGAAACCCCTCAAGGGGGGAGCAGCGGGATGCCTGAAAGGGTGAAAAAAAAAAAAATTCCCGTTGTTTTCATTAAAGTACTTGTACTTGTCTATTACAAATTTTAAGTATTTAAATACTACTGTTTTATTTAAAAATGAAACATACTGATTAACAATGTTTATAAATATGTTTATAAACATTGTTAATCAGTACTTGTACTGCATATCAGTAAGTGCACTGTGTACTACCACTTACAGTTCTGTAACTGACTGGAAAGCAGTACTGCACTATCCTCATGGTAAATAGCTGTTCACCGAATGGTTTTATATGCTACAAAATGTTTTATAAAAGTGTCTTAGTAAATCCACTTTTATATAGTTTTAGTGATCTACAGGAATATTGGACACAGCCTCATATCAATTAAGTTTTTTACTTTTAAATGTAAATATTTCACACAGAAAACCCATTAAATTATAAAGACTGTGGGTTCCTCTGTTAGATTTCATATTTAAATCTTTGTAAACTTATTCGCAATTGTTTTAGTTTCCAAATAAGAAATAAACAGTTAGGATTAAGAAATTAGATAATTCTAATGATTGAGACCTTATTGGTAAAACTGTGATAGAGAATAATAAAATTTACCTATTGGTTTCCTCAAGACTTGTCTTTTTGAGCCTTTCACTGGCCTTCGCAAGCCATTGGCCCATCACTAATTCTACGTCTTTGGAAGTAACATTTCTATTGTAGATCTGAACTACACCTAAAATAAGAGAATATAATATAGTTCCATGTAACAGGCGAGTCCAATATGTATTGTGTGACAAAGTGAATATCATTACACAAACAAGGCGAGTTTGATATTCATAGGAGCTAAAAGAGACTTTGCTCACGAATTTCATAATACATATTTTAAAACTGAAATTGTTAACCAAAGCAAGAATAAAATATAAGTATTTTTCACCTTACTGTGAACTGTGTACCTACCTAAAATATTTTCGATGAAATATTTCATATTGTTGTATGCAATCTACAATTTTTTAATTTAAGCATACAAAACAAATTTTATCAAAATTAATATAGAATAAGACATGCAGTCACCCAAATTAAGTACACATGTTTCTATAATTTTTTCTTTTTGAAACACAGTTTGGCGTGCCCATTTACAAACATGTGATGAATAACTTTGGTATTAAAAGCTTGAGTCATATTAGTACTTTACACATAGGGTAGTAGAAAAAAAAATCTACTTACGTATTGTAACAGTCCAAAAAAGCACTTACCAACTTCCAACGTTACAGGATATATAACTGGAATTTTCTTCAAAGTAATTTCTAAAAAGTGGATAAATTACAGTAATGTGTAACAAAATTAATATTAATGCTTGTTTACCTTTCCCTGTTCCAAACGAAGCGTCGATGCGTTCTTTTCTGAACTTTAAAACTACACTGAACACTTACACTACGGGTAAATAGAATGAGTTCCATACTCTACCTTTTTTTAATTGTATGCACTAAAGAGAGACGGGAATAGTTCAGAGCAATTATTGTCTGTCAACCGTTGTACGCAATCAAAACAACGTAATTCTTCTTCTTTTTTTTTCTTCTTCTTCTTTTTTTGATTTTTACAAGACAGATATAACTGTGTTTTACAACTACCCACAGAACAACTACTGTGCAAGTGTGCAACTAACTCTTGAGGTATTTCATTTTGAATACATGAGAAGTTAGTCCAAGCTAGCAGATTATGATTGTAAAACTACTATTTTAATATTCCTGGTATATTCCAGGTATATTCCTGTAAGATCATTCTTACATTATGTATTTCAGATTATTCCTAGAATATACCTTTTGGAATATTCCCAGAGGATTATTACTGTAATAATCATTTGAGCATGTTCAAGGAATAATCTAAAACTAATATTCATAGATTTATCCACCAGCTCATATATATTCCAGGAATATTCTTAATATATTCGGAATATATATATTCTTCTAGGGACACTGTAGGAATGTTCCAAGAATATCTGGTGCTGACTGGGATTGTATCGGTTCATGAGTTATGGTGGATACAGACACACACACGCACGCACGCACGCACGCACGCACGCACGCACGCACGCACGCACCCACACACACACACACACACACACACACACACACACACACACACACACACACACACACACACACACACACACACACACACACACACACACACACACACACACACACACACACACACACACACACACACACACACACACACACACACACACACACACACACACACACACACACACACACACACACACACACACACACACACACACACACACACACACACACACACACACACACACACACACACACACACACACACACACACACACACACACAAACACACACAAACACACACACACACACACATCCCGAAAATAGTCAAAACGGATTCAGGGGACCCCAAAACGTAAAAATCCGTCGAAAACCGGAGGTCCTATACTTTCCTTATATCTGTATACAGATAGGAAAGTAAAAATACAATCTTGGCAATAATAGAATTGATTACTAAATGTTTACTTAACTAAAATGTTCTTTATATTTTAGGATATATTTTAATACCCAAAAACTAGTTATGTTCTTTAGTATATTAACAACTGTGTTTGGCACACAAATTACGTCATCATTAATACACAGCTTATATTGCGGTAACTGTTTTGTAACGTTATACTAAAACATAATGTAATTAAAAAACACAACAATGACAAATTGCATTCAAATTAAAAATTGCCTAGTCCTGAAATAAGTATAAAACGACACCTCGTAGTTCAGATTTTATTTGCAAAATTTTTATTAAAATATTTTTAATATAACTTTTTTTAATTACGCAATAATTCTGTAAGCAGTGGCAAAAATCATTTGAAAGCCGTCTCTTTTAAACTAGTTGTTAAAAGTAAAAGGTCAAAGTAAAACAAACTATTCAACTATTCGAGTTTTTAAGGCCGGGTATATTACGTATAACTGTTTTTAATTGTCTTCGTTACTTATGCAATTTTTTCTTCAGATACTTCAATTCTAGGTTCTAGGTACATTAAAAAACCATTAGAATTTATCGGAAAGCATTTAACAGATGCTATTATTAGGTGTAGATTTAATTTTCGAATAGTTAATGATCATTTTTAAAAAGTTTCTGTTTAATCTAAACAATTTTTTATTATTATGTCTGTTTCAAAAGGAGAATACAAAAATTAACGGAAATTGAATTTCAGTTTTTTGCTACTTTAAATAATTTTGTTGACTAGGTGTAGATATATATATATATCTTGTAATTATATAATAATTCTCCAAATAAAAATAATTTATTAAAAAAAAACACTTTCGCTGAGAATATTTTAGAAAAATAAGAATATTCCTATTTATTTTACACATATAGGTGTATAGCTTATAATTCCTCATACATCCACTACAAAATACACTATAAAACTGTAACCAATGAAATGCTTTTATTATTATACCTACCTACTAGAAAAACTTTTGAATTATTTACATTAAAAAAATTTAATTTTTAATTACACATTATATGTTCAACTTTTGACAATGTATATTTTAGTTTCAAACACGAATCCTCTTAAAACTTTAAAAAAATCTCATCAATATTCAACATTGTAATCATTGAGTAATTAACCACACAATAGTTTATGAAAATAAGACAAATGACTCATGAAAAATCGAAATAAATTTTCACTACCTACCGGAGAGGACGAATTGCCTTCATCTTCATTTTTCTCTAGTTGACCCTGGCTCTGACTCTGTGGGGTCCTTCTCATCCTTTTGTCTCACTTAAAAAATGCACTAAAATATTGTAAATATCACAAAATATGGTTCCATTTTAGGAAAATGGTAATCCAGGTCGAATCATTAGACGTCGTCGTCGGCAGCCATTTTGCAAGACGTCATGCGTCGGTGTATACTGCCCGATTCACACGCGTCGTCCAAAGTGGATTATAATGTTTACTACGATTATGTGAGCTGGCGTCTTGTGTAACTCAGTCGACAGTTTGTTGTGTGTTATTTGGATTTTCCGTACTTTGTTACCTACATAGCGCACAACCAGGTGATAATGGAAACGTGTACAAACGTACAGGGTGTTGACAATGAATGACGGTCATTGTCTCGTCGTCTTTCTATTGTTTACCGAATATAGGTTTATTGTAATTTTAATTGGAATTATAATTAGGGTTTCTAATTTGGAAAGTGAAATTAACAGGCACATAAATACTTTTTACTACACCATGTGTGTAATACTTAATACTACCAAAAGGTACCTGCACGACGATTCACATCTTTTTGGAAATTAAATTTTATAAATATAGGTATTCATAAATTCATATTGAAATGGACGTTAAAATGTAATTTAAAAATCTACAAGACCGGAGTAATATTGAAATCACAAATGAAAAACCTATAAGCGTGGATCAACAATAATTCTTACAAATAAATGAAATTGTTATCGATTGTAAATATTTATAAGAAATTATTGTTAAAGAAGAAAGGAGTAGTAAATATACAGACACACTTTTAGGAGTTGAATTAAATAGAATGTCTACAATATTCTATATTGAAATACCTTCTGTTTTGTATAGAATTTATAGTTCAAACGGTACTACTGGTAATATGGTAAAAGGCCAGCAGTTTCCCGTTAACTTCCCATCAATAGGCCATTAATTGCCAATATATTTATTTCTAGACATTAAAGGGGAAATCAATTAATTGGTTATGATGGCAAAGTAACTTCGGCCCGACTGTCGGCCGTAGTGACCTATATATGCCGGCCTTTCAATTAAAAAAGTCAAATGGCCATCAATGTAATTGGAGGGTGACAGTTATTGGGCCTTTAATTCCCCTACACAAAATGTTTGTTGGGAGGGGACATCAAAATTAATATTTTTTGCTTGTTAAAGATGTCCGAATACGCTTCGTTTTCGGTAATAAATTCTCTCACCCCATGGCACGCTTATGGAATGTTTTGATATAAGCTATAATAGGTACAAAAGATGCCTTAAATAGCTTTTTATGAAACCAGTTGCGAAATGACCTATTTTATGTAACGTGTAAATATTTGCGGGACGAGCAGAGCGCTTAACTTCATTCTTTTATTGACAAATAGAAAATGATATTAAATTTTCCTACGACCACTTAGGAAAGTGACACATATCACACTATATAGTCCTATGGAAAGTGCCCTATATCACACGCGTATGAATAAGAATTTACTTTCCACCCGTATGCGAATATGCTACTTTCAGCATCAGCTGTCACAAAATGTCAAACGCATCATTTCTATTTTGATCTATGTAATGTCCATATTAATACTAAAATCAATATGATGTTTAAATTATTGAAATTGTTGTAAATTAGATACTAGATATTTATTTTAACAATTATTATTAAAATAATTTTAAAATAACTAAGTTATGTTAAATTTAATAAATACGATTATTGTTGATTATTTTTTTAAATACATTTTATTATAATAATAACATGGTTTTACATTTTTTGATGAAATTATTTTGTGGTCGTAGGAAAAATATTGTACATCACTTGTGTGAAAAGTGATTTTCCACACTCGTAATGTAATATACTATTTATTCTCAACAACTTGTTGTAGTGTGTTTATATTGTCTGTTAAAGTAATTCAAGAAAGTGGGTTATTTTGTCGTGTATTGTATTTTAATTATTTTGTGCTAATCTAGAATGGAAAATAAGGACCAAAATAACATTATTACTAGGTAGTAAGTTTAACCAAATTCGATTTATAAGTCAATCTGCCTTTCTTTGGTATAAACTTTCAATAATAATGTATATTATTGATTTTAAAACCAAAAAGGTTTATTTTTATTTGTTTTCTTTTCGCAACTGATGACATAATGAATTTTTCGGAATCAGTTTCTTAATGTTCAACATTATGGAACTGATTGCGTAAACTAGATAATTTTGATACTTGTTGCAATTATAAAAAATGTCACTTTATATGTCAATATATTCGAAAATGCTATTTATGAAACCCGTTACGAAATGCCTTATTTCATGTAACGAGCAAATATTTGCGGGACGTGCAGAGCGAGGTTCCGCAACATTAACGGCATTTCGTAAAGTGTTACATAAAATATTTTTTCTAATTTTGATTAAATTATAAAATTTTGTTTTGGTAAGAAATTACTGATATCTAGGCAACCAATATTACTTACCTTCTTGTATTGTTAGTTGCATATGCATAATTTAATTGACAGAACATAATATTAATTATTTACTCTCAACGATTTGTAGTGTTTATATGGCTTATTATTATTTAGTTTTCAAAAAAAGTGGGTTATTTTGTCGTGTCTTGTGTTTTAATTATTTTGTACAGATTTTAGAATGGAAAATAAGGATCAAAACAACATACTATAGGTTGTGTTGTAACTTTAACCAAATTTTTCGAAAGCAGTTTCATAATGTTCAACATTATGCAACTGGTTGCGTAAAGTAGATCATTCGGACACTTGCTGAGATTATAAAAACTGTCACTTTATATGTCAAAATTAGATAAATATTTTTTGCACAATTTTTATAATGAAAGAAATTCTTCTATCGATACATGGCAACTCTGTTAGACATTTCTAAAATTTTCCCACTATTATTTTGAAATCGTAGTATAGTAGGGCCTACATCGAAAACGGAACAACAGAGAACGCTTTCGTCCGTAGCCAGTGGCGGATCTACGATTTGTGGGATCCTACTCTTAATCATTTTTGGGCATGCACTATTTGGTATATATTTCTTTCTCATCCATTTTTTCAATATTCATATCTACTACTAATATACACAAGGTGTCCTATTAAGAATGGGACACAGTACAACTGAAGATTCTCTGATTAAAAATAAAACGATTAAAGGAAAGATGCCCAGATACAGTGGGTGTTAAAGTTGAAAATTTAAAAATTATAAATGGCTATAGTTTTTTGTTTAGAAGGGATTAAGGTTTTACTTGCCGATACCGTACGCCACTGGCAAAGTCCTTAAGACACTAAAAACTTTTGCCGAATTTAGTTAAATTATACTGAGTAAAGAAAAATTTATAGCCATTATAATAATTTTCGAATGTTCAACTTTAACTGTATTTCGGATTTTACCTAAGCATGTTTCCTTTAATCTCCTTATTTTTAATCAGACAATCTTCAGTTGTTCTGTGTCCCATTCTTAATTTGATAACCTTCCCAGACAGCACACCAAATCCTTTGGATATCTACTTGACATCCCAATATCCACTGAATGTCCAGTCCATGGTGGATATCTATTTTATATCCATAAAATGTAATTTATAGACATGCAAATGTCCATAAATAATAGTAATTATATAGCAAAATATTAAAAAATTACGCCATTGTGCTCGCCATTGTGGCTAATAGTACCGTTCAGATATTTAAAATTAATTTTTTTAAGGTGTATTCAATATCCCATGGACATCCACTAAATATATCAAAGTCTAGGCGCGAACGCAAACCATGGTGCATGTTGTATAATGTCCATCTCTCGTAAAAAACTAACCATAAATTTTGATTATCTAATCGGTTTGGATTTAAACAAATTGAATAAAGTTAAGGATTTGGGTTTAATATATGATAATCAATTTCGTTTTGGATCACATATTAATAAATTAGTAAATAGTACAAATCGTTCACTGGGATTCATTTATAGACAGACTTCCATTTTTTCTATAAAAACAATTAAAATTCTATATAATGTGTTAATTAAGCCTAAATTAGAGTTTGGATGTTTCGTGTGGGGAGATCAACCACAAATACATTTAGCGCCAATTGAAAAGACCCAGAACAAGTTTCTTAGATACTTGTATTTCAGGAAATATCATGTGTGGCCAGATTATACAAATGTAAGATCATCTAGATTAAGGGCAGAATTTAATATTATTTCATTAACAAGCAGACGTATACTAACAATGATGCTTTTTTTGTTTAAAGTCATAAATAATATATCCACTTCAAGTAGTTTGCTACACAAAATTCCCTTTAAAGTTCCTTCTAGGTTTACTAGATATCCACTCTTGTTTGGAAAATTAAGGCAGACAGTTTGTTCCCCTCTTGAGTCCATGTTAAAACTAGCAAATGTGATACACAATATTAAAGACATTGATTGGACACTACCACCTGAAAGGTATAAAAAAATAATTAATGAATATATAGCAGATTTTAGTATGTAAAAAAATATATATGTCGTTTTTGTGTTTTTTTTTCTCTTTTTTCCTTTTCTTGTTTTTTAGGGCACATTATTTCTTATAGCTTAATAAAAAGGATTTATTTTTTCTTTATTAGTTTAAGTAATTATTATAATTAACGAGACCATGTACTACCTACTATCTATTTATAACATTTATTAATATTATATTTATTGTACTTACTACCCTTATAAAAAGGTTGTAAAACCTGTTTGGGTTTTTAATAAATAAATAAATATCCACTAGATGTAATTTTTGCTTACTAAGTATAGATGGCGATACCACTTTCGCTCGTGATCATGCTCAACCCGCCGTAATTGAGTTCGATCGAAATTTTTATCCCAATCAGACTCCATTAGAGACTGGAGTCGAGAATTTCCATTTATTGCTGAAGAGTCCTAATAAGGATATGACTTTCTCCTTAGTGGGCAAAATCAAAGGCAGACTGTTGAAAATATTTTGAGTGTTGAAAATATTTTTATCTCTGCTATTTTCTTTCAACGTTATTCAATAAACATTGGTTACTTTTATGAACCTCTACTAAAGATACCTATAAAATATTTTGCTGAATATCTGAATTCTTCTATATCCTGGGATATAGACGGACATTTGGTTGGATATCCATATTGGATATCCACAAAATCAAAATATATTCTGTGGATATCTCTGGGATTTCTCGTATTGTCTGGAAGATACCCATTAGATATTTTGCTGGATAATCCATAGGATATCTTCTAAGTATATTCTGGATATAGACGGACATTTGGATGTCCATATTAGATCCACGGAATATTTCTGATATCCTGTGGGGATATATTTGGATATCTACAAAAGATATTCTGTGGATAACTCTGGGATTTGGTGTGTTGTCTGGGTAGTTGTCAGTGTTCGTTTGAATTTCTGCATATCAGAAAAATGGTTCATTTAACAGAAATGCATAAAATAACAATTCTACAGATGATTGGTTATGGAGATAACACACGGACACAAATGGAAGTTGCTCACTTATTTCATGAAAAATTTTCAAATTTGCCGCTTATATCCCAAGGGACAATTGGTAAAATAGAAAAGCAGTCCTATACCTAACTATTTCGGAAGTATTAAATGTTTTCCGATTTAATGCAAAAATTAACATTAATAAAATAAAAATTATTTTATTACAGAAATTCGTTACAACACACAACAACTAATAATTAAGTAATACTGTTTTATTTCTTGATAATGTAACAAAAAAACATCTGCACCGTAATGTAATAACTTAGAAGTGGTGTGGAAATGTACCATGAATCATACCATGAATTACTGACATCACTTCAATTAGGCATTCCAACGACCTGTCAAACAATAGGTGCCAGTGGGAAATTCTTGTATATTTAAGGGGGTAGCGACATAGTCTTGCAACTTGGACGCTATTTTTATTCGAAGTAGTACTCGCCAAGCCTGCCAATTTATGAAGAAATGTATAGGTGGGTTTTTTAAATATCATTTTTATTGTGTTTGACATAAAATATTTAAATGTAATCCATTATTCATGATTTTACGTAAAGTAGATAGAATACACCATATGTCGCTACCCTTAGATATACCAAACCTGCCCACTGGTAATTCATTTGTTTGGAATGCCTAATTGAAAAATTTGAAAATAATTTTTGGATTAAATTAAAATGCATATTTGTAGTATACCTGTAAAACATTAAAATTGGAACTGAAAACGCATTACCGTCGTAAGCTCCCAAAATCTCTACAAATTTTGGAGCGATGACAAATGTCAGCATTCCATTACACATTCCTGAAATTTTCCCACTGTCTATTATTTTGAAATCGTAGTATATTCGTGATTTATTTTTTTATAAAATTTAAATTTCGCGCTTAATTAAAACCAAGCGCATTCCCGATTTTATCGATCTTGGTACTATTACTTGCCGCCAGAGTCTTTTTCGTCATAATAATAGTCCAAGTACTAAGTATCGACATACGTCGGGTAGTTGGATTTATCCGTTAGGCGTGGTTCTAACATTTGTACAACAAAGCAGTATCAATTACGTAAATCGTAGTATTTGACATACTTAAAAAGTCATAAAATGACAGTTACGCCATTGCCAGAAATTTGAATAAATAAAAACATTAGTAAATGTGATGATTTGTGTGAAAACTTTTATGCTTTTCATTAGTTAAAAATATTTTTTTATGATTGGAAACAATATGCCAGCATCTATTGGAGTGAACCTGCGTGTGACAGGCCATTGTCGCCAAGGTGGTAGAAAATACATGGAAGATTTCTTTTCAGTTGCATATCAACAAACTGAAGATGAAAAAGACCTGGAATATGCATTTTTTGGTATTTACGATGGCCACGGTGGAGCCGAGGCTGCAGCATTTGCTAAAGAACACCTTATGGAAACTATTATTAAACATAAAAACTTTTGGTCTGACGATGACGAAGATGTACTAAAGGCTATCAAAGATGGTTATATGGCTACACATTACGCTATGTGGCGAGTCCAAGGTACATGAATCATGAAATTTACAGCAAAAGTATTGACCATTTAAGAGTAATATAATTGAATCAGTGAGTTTAAAACCCTACTAAAAGTCAAAAAGTAAAAGCATAAAAACAGTATCCTATGCCTAATGATTAACATTGTATATATTTTAAAACTTGTATGTCCATGCTAAATACTCTAAAACAAGAAATTACAAATTAGTGTTTATTCGGTTTTGTAGGTATGTTTTTAAACTCACTGATTCAAATATAAATGAGTAATGCATATCCTTTTATATGCAAAGAATGTACGAGCAATGCATATTCTTTTATATGCATAGAATGTTCTCAAATATATAGAGAATATTTGTGTTATTGACACTATTTACCTTTTTCATTTATATTATATTTATTAATTTTTTTTAAATGCCAGCCATTTTCGTTGATTTTCTTACTTACTCTGTGTTTTAATACTTTAATGAGTACTTTAATACCTTTTTATATATTGCTTGTAATAAAGTAATTAAAATTTTTGGTTTTGTTTGAATTTTTATTTAATTTTTCAAGATGTGGTATTGCCCAAATGTAATTTCTTTTTTGTACATTTTTTAGCCTCAATATAGCTTATCAATATTTCAAGAGGATGTATACAATGTTCTTATTTGCAGATCTATGTAAAACTAAAATAAATTAAAGAATATTAACAGTTTAAAAAAGTTTTCAAATAATGGGGTCAGTTGGTTATTGTGGCCAATCAAAGAGAGTTTTAAGATTCCAATCAATTCAATTCTTAATTTGTGATACAGAGGCTGTAAATCTTCTATAAAAGTCGGTAGTTTACTGAGAGAGCAAAGTAACTTAATCAAACCTAATAAATATGAAAGGAGCAAAGTAAAAATAACATTTCAATATCTCTCTCAACATATTCCCTCTTGGCTTTCGACCAGATGTAAGCCTTGTTATTTGTGCTCTCATTAAACTGCACAGTTGCTTTAGAGATTTACTGAACTTATATATACTAGACTAATAAATAAAAATATTACTATTTTATACCATAAAATGATTTTTCACTTAACATAATTTACAATAATCTAATAAAAAGGCGATCACACATAACAAGAACAGAATTTCAATGCATTCAATCTGCATGTAATCTTGCCATTATGTCATTAATGTAATATTTTATCTAATGATCTCATTTTATTTCTCAGAAAAATGGCCTAAAACTGCATCAGGTCTCCCAAGTACAGCTGGAACAACAGCCAGTGTAGCATTTATCAGACGAGGAAAAATTTACATTGGCCATGTAGGGGATTCTGGAATAATATTAGGTATTTTTGTTTAATAATTTTCAATTTATAAATTAATTAACTGGCCATTGATAGTTATATAAAAACAATCACATTTATTCTTAATTTTTTAGGTTATCAAGAACCTGGTTGTTCAGAATGGAAAGCAAAACCCCTCACATTGGATCATAAACCTGAAAATACAGATGAAATGAACCGCATTAAAAGTTGTGGTGGAAAAGTAATCTCTAAATCAGGTATATTATTAATTAAATTGTAAAGGGTATTCAACTGTTTAAATGCGGCAATCTACATAAAAAAAATTATATCTATCTACATTCTCATCCACATTTGCTCAAATATTGACTCTTTTTTCCAACATTAGGCGACAAATGGTTTACAACTAATTAAGTAAGTCTAGTTTAAATACCAAACACATTTCAAAATGATTTTTAGTCAAATTTTAATAATTTACAGTTGGGCTTCGCTGTGCCTTTCTTGCTAATCTATGTTTAATCAGACCAAATAATGTTTTTATAATAGGATGATTAATTTGTTGTCTTATGACTTTTACTTGCATTAACTTTAAAATGATTTGTTGTAAAACCAGATGATTGCCGTCAGGACCGAAACAGGTAGCTGATTATTGAGTTAATAAATTTTAGGAAATCCATGTTCTCAGATGTCAGTTTTATTAACAAATGAATAAAAAGCTAAAATCAATACCACATCAAATAATAATGTATTGTCTTAAAAACAAACTGGTATTGGTAACTATGTTACCAATATTTTATTCTGTTTCATTATTATATTTGCCATAAGATGGCCTTAATGGGCTGAAACTAGTCGCAACAATTTGTTTTTAAGTCAACAAATTTTATGTGTATCTATTTTGGGTTTTTATTAATTTGTTAATAAATTTTATGTGGTACAAATTTTATGTTAATTTTTTTCATCATTATTATTATTAATTCTTTATTATAAAAAAAAGTATAAAAAATTCTGTAAGATAATTTGATGGTTAATGTGTTGGTGAGTTTGAATAAATTTTAATGTTATCTTTCAGGAGTGCCTCGTGTAGTGTGGAATAGACCGAAAATAGGCCACCAAGGTCCTGTACGTCGTTCGACACCCATTGATGAAATCCCTTTCCTGGCAGTGGCACGAAGCCTTGGTGATCTTTGGTCTTACAACTATCAAAGCAATAGATTCATAGTGTCGCCAGATCCAGACTGTTCTGTTATTAAAATCGATACTAATACACATCGTTGTCTCATTTTTGGTACTGATGGACTCTATAATATGCTCAGTCCTTCCATGGCAGTAAGTACCTTATAAATATACACTCAAGATAAGCTATGATTGAAGGTTCAGATATTTTACAAAATGTACATTCCAGGTTCATATAGTTCAACAAGTAGAGAGGCATAACGAAAATGCTGCTCTAAGTGATTCAACTTACAAAACATGGCTCAATCCAAGCAAACTTTTAGTGGAAAAGGCATTAGAGAGATGGTATTCAACAAAAATGAGAGCTGACAATACCTCAGTCGTCACATTGATGTTAGACCCACCTGGACCTCCAAGAGCACAAGTTCTGAAAGACAGGAAAAAGAACTTACCAGAAAGGGGTTAGTTAGTTACACAATTATTTTAGGATATTCACTTATTAGATTTTTTTTAAGGTTTAAAAATAATGACTAGATTTGATAGTGATCCATCTCAGGACTCAACCACGTCTAGTGATTGTGATGAAAGTCCAGTAGAACACCTTATTGATGCAGTTCCACCCCAAACCATTTTAGAAACTGTTCCTGAACCAACCCCAGTTCTTACAATTCCTCTTTCCGACTATAATGGTAAGGAGGAACGAAAGAATGATTGCTTGACCACATCATCATCTGCAGGTAAAGAAAAGTCCAAAATTATATATTATGCACTGAAAAATTAAATATTTTAGTATCATTTTCTATAACAAATATTGGATGTTTTCTGTATGTTTCTACCTATAACCAGGTAACTCACCAATACTGAAGCTATAGAATTATCGTACATCCTCATTTATTTTTGAATTTTTGGGGTATATTTTTAGGATTGGACGACGTTGTATTCAAAAGTATAATTTTGTTTCCAATTTGAGGTTCCGGAGAGGGCAAAGTGTGAAAAGGAGTTTTTACCTTTTCTTTCTTCATATGAAATATTCATAATAATAAATAATTAATGTTCCATTTGTTTTTCTGGTATTTGAGGTGCTTTTTATAAAAAGCTTAGTTTTTGATTTATAAATCGAATTAACAGGTATTTTATATCTATACCAACGATTCTTCTTATCAGATCACCATCTTGTTCAGGGTCCATACAGGCTCCTATTCCATAGATTTCAGTGTATAACTGTTTTACAATCTTTTTTCTATATGCTGCAATTAAGAATATTAGGTAAACAGTTATTTGCTATTTACTTTTTCTTTCCCATATTTATATTCTATTTTTCCTAGTTCTTCTTTGTTCATAACATGCTTACACTTACCTAGACAACTCTTATTTTACAATTTTAAACAATTGCACCTTCACCTTTGTTGTGATGTTCTTTTATTTAATAAATGTGGTCAGACCAATGATCATCTTTGGTATTGGGAACTAAATATAACCAGTACCATAAATTAAAATTATGTTTGTTCATCAATTTCAGAAAGTAACTCGGTTTCATCAAGTGACCTTACAAACAATAACTTCCCATTGAAAGAGCGAAATTTTTTACCAAAAACACGTGAAAGTACCAGTTTTGACACAAGAGAGCCCTGGGACAGTGGCAAAGAAAACTTTAAATCCCAGAACGCCGAAGATAACACAATACAGTGCAACGAAGTGTCTTCTAGTAACATCGAAGTTGAGAGTTCATGTTTAGATGAGGAAGAACGTGATGCTCAACTACGGAATGGAAAACACAATTTGCGAAGTGGTAAGAAAGCAAATAACGACGTTTCAGTTAGTGGCAGGGCCAAAAATGGCGAAGGAGAAAATAAAAATAAGGTAAAATATTGAAAATATAAAGACAATAATTATTAAAAAAAAAAATGTTATTAGGGTGTAAAAAGAAAATTGGATCAAGGTCAAAACACTCCACAGCAACCAAGAAAAAGCATGAGAATAGACAGCAATCAAAAAAAGACAGGAGAAACGGTAGAAAAGGTACGTAGGGCATTTGAAGCTGAGGAAAAACTGAAAAAATTGGCTGAAAAGGCCGATTTGGCAAAGCGGAAGAGTGCAGATATAATTATGGCTCAAAGTTCCATTCCAAAAAATAAAAATACAGAGGTGAAAAAGAAGAATGTTGTTCTAAATAAACCGATTGCAAAGAAGAAAATTAAATTGGTTATGGAAAAAGTAAAGAGAGTACAAAATGCAGTGTTGCTAAGGACCAAGACTGTAAAACCGCAAAAAAGTGAGGTAAGTAGTATTCTTGGTCCTTATTACTTTTTCCACTTTTCATTATGACATCATCTACTAATTAAATGCAACTGTTTTAAAGATAAAAAACATTTCTAAATCAGGTTAATTTTAACACTATAGAAATATAAAATAATCTGAAGTAATATACATAAAAAAATATATCATTGTTATTCAATTTACAAATGATAAAATAATAATTGACACTAATTTTCATTACACAAATATTAAATTTACAGAATTCTGTTAAGAAATTAAAAATGGTAGCAAAAAAAGCAACTTTCCAAAGGCATTCTAAGAAGAATGCATCTCAACGCCAAAGAAATGTAACTGTTGTGGCCAGCATCTTGGCCAGTCACAAGAAATCTGTATTAAAAGTGAAGCCAAAGGTTAATATGAAGAAGGTCGGAGGAGAACTAACAGAAAAGGTTGTGGAGAGAATGAGTAATTCAAATGAACCGCCGGTCAGTTTGAGGCAGAGTTTTAGGAATAGTCCTAATAAATCAACAGGTGCGTTGAATTAGTTTTTAAACGTAATTTTTTTTTATAAAAGAAATGCATTATTATCGTTTTATTTTAATTTTAGATGTCGTGAATACGTCGCGATCTCAACGGGACAAAACCACTGCAGCAGCCAAATCGCAAACTAAATCATCCCTAAAAAAGAGACTTCACCAAAAAGCGGAAAGTCTAAAACAAAACGTGATGAGGAAAAAGTAATTTTACTCTTGTTATTTAAAAATAAGAATAAACATATTTTTAATCTAGTTTTTTTAAGATAGATTGTGTTATATTTTACAAAAATCAAACAAAATTAATGAGAGGACATGTTTCGTTTTAGAAAACTTTTTATTTTAAACAGTTTTTTGTAACACTCAAACTTGTATTTTTTTTATTACGAAACAAGTCACTTGACTGTAATAAGTGATGGGGTAGTTTTTATTCATATTTGCATTTTGTACTGAGAACTTAGTTTAAAAACTTCAGATGTGTTATGAAGAAAATTATTTTCTAAGTTTGCCTTACGTTCTTTTTTGCACTTAAAATGCGAAGTATTTTTTTGATTTGTAATTTTTTTTTTAAATAAATTCTAATTGAATTATGATATATTGTCAACTGTGTTTGGAGTATTAAGGGAGCAAGCAGTATAGGTTAGCAGATTGTTAATTTCATTTTTTTTTTTTTTTTTTTGTAAGCGCATCGATTGGTTTGGTTGCTTATTGTTTTGTATCAATACCAAAGTATTGTAATATTTCTTATACAATCCCTTTCTGTTAGTATTTTTACTGAAATTCATTCCTGCTTGCCTTATATCCCAATAAATTTTTGAGGAATTTCTTTGAGTATGTCCAAATTAAAAAGAACTCTGGGTTGATCCGTCTCGGTTAAGATACAAAGTAAGTCATATGTTTATATTGCAAATAGGTTGCCTAAGAAAATACTGTCAAGATTATTTATTTTCTAAAAATGCAGCATCCTATAAAGTATCTACCAGATGCTTCGACTATGCCCAAAATGTAATCAGCTCACCGCAGGATGTATTAAATCTTAAGTTTAAAATTTGGTGTTTTTCTCTTTATCCGTTTTCGAGTTAGCTTCGAAATTTGCACTTTCCCTCAAATATCTCGAATACGGTCCATTTTTAACCGACTTCAAAAAAGGAGGAGGTTATCAATTCGTCGCGATATATTTTTTTTAACAGACTTCAAAAAAGGAGGAGGTTATCAATTCGTCGCTAATTTTTTTTTTATGTATGTTCAGCGATTATTCTTTAACACGGTATCCGATTTCAATGATTCTTTTTTTGTTAGAAAGGGGGTATTTCAGGGGTGGTCCCATATAAATTTAGTCAAAATCTAATAATTGGGTCCATGAGAAAATCCTCAAACTCTTCATTTTTTACGTATGTTCAGCGATAATTTTTTAACACGGTGTCCGATTTCAATTATTCTTTTTTTGTTAGAAAGGGGCTACTTTAGGGTTGGTCCCATATAAATTTGGTCAAAATCTAATAATTGGATCCATGAGAAAATCCTCAAAGTCTTCATTTTTTATGTATGTTTAGCGATAATGCTTTACCACCTTGTCCGATTTATACGATTCTTCTTTTGTTAGTAAGGGGGTACCTCAGGGGTGGTCCCATATAAATTTGGTTAAGATGTGGTGATGGCATCTGCACGTTTTTGAAGTCAGTTTTTTTAAATTTTTAATTTAGATCACTTGTAACCGACTTCAAAAAAGGAGGAGGTTATCAATTCGTCGCGATATTTTTTTTTTATGTATGTTCATCGATTATTCTTTAACACGGTGTCCGATTTCAATGATTCTTTTTTTGTTAGAAAGGGGGTATTTCAGGGGTGGTCCCATATAAATTTAGTCAAAATCTAATAATTGGGTCCATGAGAAAATTCTCAAACTCTTCATTTTTTACGTATGTTCAGCGATAATTTTTTAACACGGTGTCCGATTTCAATTATTCTTTTTTTGTTAGAAAGGGGCTACTTTAGGGTTGGTCCCATATAAATTTGGTCAAAATCTAATAATTGGATCCATGAGAAAATCCTCAAAGTCTTCATTTTTTATGTATGTTTTGCGATAATGCTTTACCACCTTGTCCGATTTATACAATTCTTTTTTGTTAGTAAGGGGGTACCTCAGGGGTGGTCCCATATAAATTTGGTTAAAATGTGGTGATTGCATCTGCACGTTTTTGAAGTCGGTTTTTTTAAATTTTTAATTTGTAATACTTGTAGGGAAATCATGTATGAGACAAGAATGATAGAGAATATCACAAGCAACTTTTATCATGATTCCTATACTTTCATTATCTGTGTACACAAAGGAAAGTATGACAGTATTTTTTAGGCAACCCATTTGCGATATATTTAATAAAAAATATCTTTCATCCGGTTAGCAGACGGGCGAAGATCGACCTTACTTCGTATCCTGTACTAGTCCATCCAGTTTCTTAAAACGCATAATTTTATATTAAATCAAGCTACATGAGCCTATGGCTTTATAGAATTCTATACAGGGTGTCCCAAAATTGCTGGGACATAAAGCTACCACGTATTGTACAGAACAAAATAGGTATTTGACCCAATTTATACAGTGTGTTTAAGTTGGCTACATATGGAAATCTTTTTTATCAAAAAAATGTATTTTTCATAAAAAAATATTGTGCATGAAAACCTAAAATGATTACAAGAGTACATTCATTTTCACCAAACCTCGTATACGAATCGAAAAATTTGTTTTTTTGGGTTTTTTATGTTTTAGACGCTGCACAATTTTTTATGAAGAATATATTTTTTTCCTAAAATTAATAATAAAGAAGTTATACATAAGCCGCCAACTGTCTATGTAAGTTAGCAGGCATATGGAAAATCTTTATTATTATTTTAGGAAAAAGTTTATTCTTCATGAGTTAAAATCTAAAAATTCAGTCATCTGATACCAAATTTTATCAGTCGTATATGAGGTTTGTCAAAAATAAAAGAACTTTTGAACAAAATTTATATTTTTTGAAGCACCTCGTATACGGCTCAAAAAATTTAATATCTGATGGTTGAATTTTAGGTTTTAGACTATGCATAACTTTTTATAAAGAATACATTTTTTTGATAAAATTAATAATAAAACAGTTTTCCATATGTAGCCAACTTACCTAGACGTACCTATATACCAAAATGTACCGTTTGTCCGTGAAAAAAAGTAGTTGTGGAAACATTAACAGTCAACAATAAATTGGGACGATTATGAATTTATTTCCTGTCAAAATCATGTCTTGTTTTATTTTTGTGTCCACGGCATACCAAATTTTGTACTACAATTAAACTTGTACTAAGAATGTCGGTTATCAGTGTTTGAGAAAATAATATTTTCTTCGAAACTGCGAAACACGTAGATTTTACAAGAGTCAAAAGATGAAGATGATGAAAGCCTTTCCGTTAGAAGTCTTAGAACCGCATTGCCACCCCTAAGAAAATAAAACAAAATATTAATGGGCGAGGGCGGTTTTAACCCTTCTACAATTTCCTTTGGATTTATTTGATCATTAAATGTAGAGTAATCCTCTAAAATGTATTTCTGCCAAATTCCATTAACAAAAATGTGATTTTTTGAGTAAAATTTTAACTCTTCTTACAGACAAACGATACATTTTGGAATTTATATATTTCTGTAATTGTAACATGTGTGAAGGGTGGGTTAACCCACGGCACTTAGGCCTCACTAGGCCCATTGTGCATCCTCCTAAGTAGATAGGCACCTCCTAGCTCGTGAGTCAGCCTACAGATTTAATGTAGTTGACAATGTCGCCAAGAGGTTCTCTTTTATCAATTGGTGTTAGCCAATTCTTGCGGAACACAAATCTAATAAATTCGAGCGCCGGGCAATCGTAATACCTAACCAGCGCGTCCTCGAGCCATTTAAATTTTTACTAAACCAATTTTGACAGATAAAATCTGCATCCGACATTATTTTTCTCAGGCGCATGAGCGACTATGTCAGAAAGCGCATTTGTTGGGGCGGTTTTGTTGAGCATTTTGGAAGGTCACCAAAAATTAGAACGTGGTTTGGAGATGCTTCCGTAGTTAGCAATGTCCAGTCAGAATGCCTGTGATCAGGCGCAGATTCTGCCTAGTCATAGCAGTCGTGGTATTTATATATAAATTGGATCTAATTGATTTATTTTGACCTCTACAATTTTATTATTAACTATTTATTATATGACGGCTGCTTTGTTGAACAATTTATCTACTTTTCTTTGCATTTGCTTCTATCTTTTTTGTATATAGTTATAGTTTTTCCTTGAGTGTCCAAAAATAATTGGTAATTAATCATCAAATTGAACATTTTAGGTTTTAAGTAAAAAGTGTAATTTTCATAATAATAAATGTTCCCTTCTTGCTTCCCAAAAATGTCTCCAAACTCAGTTTATCTATCTAGAAATGTTTAATGTGTGGAAAGTCATTTTAATTATTTTCTCTAGAGAAACTTTGAATTTATCTTTTAATTATAAATTGATAGTTTGTATGGGTCGGGTAAAATTTTGTATAAAATATTCTAATTTATTTTTAAATATTCAATTAAACTGCAAAATATTATTTGCATGATGAAATTTTTTCAGGACCCTCGCGAGCAAACAATCTTTTTAAGTCCATTATTATGATTCACGGTTTTTAAATATGAAAATATTTTTAGTTGTATTTCGCAACAAATTTGTGCCTTTGTTACCAAAAATATTGAAAAATGTTACATATTATGTACACATAGGCAAAAGAAATATATTTATAAGAAATTTATTATTTTCTCAAAATAAAGTTTATAGTTAACTTATTTTTTTTTTTACAAAACGCTTACCAATAATGTCAAACAAGTTGCTGGCTTTTTCTCTTTCTCTAACGTTTTTCTTTATCCTCTGTTCAAAAGGATAAGTGATATCTTTGATATCCTTTATAAATAAGAGATAGTCTTAGATTTATTTTTTTAATAAGATTACAATTTGGTATAAAAATGATACATACAAAAAAAATCGAAATTTTGTCATGATATAAACTTTTTAGGCAGTAAATTCGTTTTAAGTCTAATCAACCAGTAGATAAGTACTTCCTTACAACCTTAATAATTATAGATGATAGTTTATGTGTAGATAAAAATTATATCTTCATCAGTTCCATAACTTTTGCGCGCCAGATCAAACATCTCCATGGGCATTGTACACACATCTAAAATTATACATAATTACACTTTAGATCATTATTAACAAATTTTTACCTAAAATCTAGTACAATTTTAATTTTTTTTATACAATAAAAAAACAGTTTTATATAAAATAAAAAATGAACTTATTTTTGTAATAATGGGTGTGGTTAACTATAATATAAATTTTATTAATCCTGCCAGTCCTAGATAAAAAGTATTTCAAAAAATATAACTTAGTTTTGGTTACATATCGCGAAAAAGACAATAAATTAATATTTGCTGAAAATTTATTACGAATAGATCAGTTAAAATTTCCGAAAAGTATAATATATAAATTCTTAGGAAAGTCCTAAATAATTTTTTCAAAATTATCCTTACAAAATAATGAAAACTATTTTTGAACCCCCAAAATGAAATAAAATTTATTGAGAACTTATTCGAACCCTTCACATCTGCGTTCTACGCACGCTGCCTTACCAACTCGGCCATCAGGACATTAGATATCCGGAGTCCTAATTGTTATTTTCGATATTAGAGTCGAATCTTAAATGGTGACAGAATAATCTCAATTTTTCAAAAAGCCACTAGTACTTCATTATCTAAGAAAAAATGCCTAAAGAATTTAGGTGCACAAAATGAAACTATAGAATAATCATGATGGTATTTTCAAATTAAAATGCAATAGTCCCAATTCTATAATAAAAGTTAAGTCCGGAAAATACTGTTTTTTAAGCGGATAGCCAAGATTCCAGAATGAGTGATATACGAGTCCTAGAAGTCTGGAGTCCGCTCGAATTTCCGGACGCATAAAAATCTAAAATATATTTCAGTAGCGGGTTTACCCCACCGACCTAGATATTAAACATAGTTCAGTGGTTTACCCTCGTCATATTACGTTTAGATATCGACGTGTCATATCTACTATTAATTAAATTCTTTATTGAGTTGTTTGCCCCCAATTTGCATTTGCATCCCACGAGGTTTATGAGATTTAAGTCCGAAGTGTTGGCTTGTCAAACCATAACCAATATATAATATTAGGCGTTCCAAACAAAACAACTATCGGTGAGAAGGGTTGGTGTATCTAAGGTTTCGGCATACGATGTATTATATCTACAACAGGGATGTTGCGAATATTCGCATCCGCAAATGCGGAGTTTCCGCATAGATTTGAACATCCGCATCCGCAATAATCAATACGGATGTTCATCCGGATGCGAATGTAATACAAATGGCTAGTTGCGACAAGAAAGAAATTGAGTGGAGCCGGCGAATGACGCGTGCCGTTCGCACGACGCGTTTCCTGAGAATGACTGATCCCACGGAAAAGAAAATGAAACAACTAGGAACAGGACCATCAAGTTTTGTCAGAAAGCCAAGCTTAAAAAACGACCTTGCTACGATGTTAGATTCGTCAATTGAAGATGAGAGTCAAGAAATACCAGAAAATGGCAGCCCTGAAGCTGTACTTAAAAAGGAATTACTTTCTTACCGCACTAAAAAAAGAGTCAATGCTGATGAAAATCCTCTTAAATGGCGGAGTGTTCATCGAGAGGAATTCAAGATATTATCACCGATAGCACGAAGATTTTTATCCACTCCACCAGGCAGTGTTCCTATATAGCGAACAATTATTTATTAGTGCGGGTTTAATTTACGAACCTCTGCGTAACCGCCTTGAATCAGAAAAGGTGGCAATATTACTCTTTATTAAGTACAATGTTCCTATTTTTGACTTCACTTACTAATATGAAAATTAGTAAGTGAAGTTAAAAAAAATATGAGCATTATACATAGAATACATACATAACATAATACTAATTTTCATTAATAAAAATGTTAATAAATACTTTATCATTATTTTAATTCTTCATTCGTTTTCGTATCCTATTTGTATATAGGATCTTAAACATCCGCGTCCGCATGTGAGCCTTCAAAAATCCGCATCCGCTTTCACATCCGCGGATGTGAAAAAATCAGCATCCGCAACATCCCTGATCTACAATACGTGAAATAATGAATAATGGATTAAATTTACATATTTTATGTCGGAACAAAATGAAAATATAATTTTTAAAAACCGCTTACACATTTTTCATAAATTGTCAGGCTTGGCGACTACTATTTCGAATAAAAATAGCGTCCCAAGATTCAAGACTATATCGCAAGCCCCTTAGATATATAAGCCCTTCCCGCTGGCAGCTATTATTTGACAGGTCGTTTAAATGCCTAATTAGGAATTAGACACGAATAATGTCTGGAGCGCAATAAAAGCGATGGCGTTTTTAAACCGGTTAGTTCACTGGACCGTGCAACAAGTGCATAAAAAGGAGGAATCCTATTAATTTTTACATTTAAAGTTATTTTTATTTGGTCAAGTGTTGTGTTGTATAATAATATGTTTACTACTTTTTTTTCTAAAAAATTAAGTGCTGAATACCTGCGGGCTGCAATTTCAACGGTTTGGTTTTTTATAAAATGGTAAGTGTTCCCTACTTTATACTATCTACGTTAACCCTTTATAGGATACTGGTTATAATTATTTTTTTTTACTCAAGATTCTAAATCCGTAATATCAGTAACCGTGAGTGGACCATCTGAAATTTCAACAGAGGCGACCACGGTAACATCAAGTCCTGCAACAAGTTGCGGCGGTTGTAGCAGCAGAACAGCTTCTACTGATACAGAACCCGATGATACCATCCTCGTCTACAGTACTTGAACAATCCACTTCAGGTAATTCAGCTTGTGTAAGAAGTTCAGTAATGTCAGCTACCGAAATACCTGCTGCAAGTGACACTTTCGATGAAGGCTTTAAAGAGGCTAGTGTCGATATAATTCCGTCCGACCCCGGTTTGTGGCCCGAATGAATCACCATTAAGATAGCTAGAATATTGATTAAACGTTGTCCGCCCTTGATAGACATCAGTTTTAGCTTTCATAGTAATAAAGATAAGAGAAAGTTTTTCTGCAAATATTTTGTAAGAAGTCTAGCAAATGGAGAAAAAGTCGAAAGGACTTGGCTTATTATTTACTCTATTTCTAAAGATTCTGTATTTTGTTTTTATTGTAAGTTGTTTTGTAAAACTCCTAACACTTTTTGTGATACAAATGGAGTATCTGATTGGCAACACTTGTCTTTGGTAATGAAGAGACACGAAACATCAGTTTTACACAACAGTTATATGAACACTTGGGTAAATTTAAAAAAATGTTGGAGACATCTACGACTGTTAATGCTCATCACCTGCGGATTTTAGAAACGGAAAAAAAATATTGGCGCGACGTGTTGGAAATAATTATTGCGATTGATAAGTATTTATCTTCACAATGCTTGCCATTTCAAGGTTCTTCTAAATTACTTTTCGAACATGATAATGGAAATTTTCTAAAAGCTGTTGAGATGAGTGTCTCTTTTGATTCAGTGATGAGACAGCACGTTAGCCGAGTGTGTAACTCCCAAAAAAAATCTGTTAAAATGACTCATTATTTAGGCGTGCAAATACAGAATGAAATAATTGAATTATTGTCGTCTAAAGTAAGAAATAATATTTTAGAAATCGTTCGCAGTTCAAAATATTTTTCAATAATATTAGATTGTACACCAGATACTAGTCATACTGAGCAAATTAGTCTTGTTCTGTGATATGTTGTCCTTAACACCACTTCAAAAAAGGTTGAAGCTAAGGAAAGTTTTATTGCGTTTAATCCAATACTGGACTCTACAGGGGAAGGGATATACACATTTGTGAAAGAAATTTTGAAAAAATTAAATTTAGATATAAAGGTTATGATAATGGGGCAAACATGAAGGGAAAGCATGTTGTACTTCAAAAAAGCATTCTTGGTGCGAATCCGAGAGCCCTTTTTGTACCTTGTGCGGCTCATACTTTGAACTTAACAGTAAATGACGCTTCTAAGGTGTCAGATGCTACAATAAACTTTTTTAATCTTGTGCAAGAGTTATATAATTTTTTTTCCACATCCACAAAAAGGTGCGATGTTATGAGAAAAAATGTCACCGGGATAAGTTTAAAGCCTTTAAGTGAGACAAGATGGTCCAGCAGAATTGATGCAATAAAGCCCCTTAAACTTTATTTAATCAAGGTTTGCGAAAGTCTTCTAGAAGTAGCTGAAGATAATTCATTTCACATTGATGCAAGACATAAAGCGAGTTCCCTCTTAACGTCTGTACAAAATTTTCAGTTTATTTGTGGAATTATTATTTGGCATGACGTTTTATTTCATATAAATATTGTCAGCAAACAAATGCAAAGTGCTACAATTAATATTAAAGTATACCAAACCTACTTAAAAAATTTAGTTGATCACTTCCAGCAATATCGATCTGACCAATCATTTCAAGAAATTCTTGTACAAGCGAAAGAAGTATCACTCTCTCTCGAAATTGAACAAGACTTTCCACCGTTACCAACGGTCAGGAGGAAATTTAAACCAAAACTGTTTGACTATGAACACCGAGATAAGACCCCTTATGATCCAAAAACCGTCTTTAAAATTGTTTTTCCTAAAAATTATAGATCAAACTTTAAGCTCTCTAAAAAACTTATTTGACTTATTAAATGAGTTTGATATTTTCGGATTTTTTAGCGACATATTCAAATTAAGTGACAGCGATCTTTTAAAACGTTGTTCTGTTTTTGAAGAACGACTGACAGATTAGGATAATAAGGATATAGATTCAAATTATTTGTTTAATGAAATTAAAGTTAAAGTTGTTTTCATTACCTGATGATACTGACCCCTTAAGTATTTTACAATATATATTTGAAAACAATTTAATCTCTACCCTTCTAAACGCAAGCATTTCACTAAGAATTCTTCTGACATTGCCTGTATCTGTAGCTTCTGGCGAGCGATCTTTTTCAAAGTTAAAAATCATTAAAAATTATTTAAGATCGACAAGAAAGATTGTCTGGGCTAGCAATATTAGCAACTGAACAAGAAATTTTTGATGGTATAAATTTTGGGGATGTAATTAATGAATTTGCAACAGCAAAGTCTCGGAAAATATCGCTACTACAATAGCTATTTTTTTATTTTTCTATTGTACCTAGCTAGGATTTTTGATTTTATAACAAACTTACCTAGGTATTTGTTTTCAGAAGTATCTGCATATTTTTTAAAATATCTAAATATAAGTAGAAAATATATGTAGACATTAGGCAATATTTATGTTATTTATTCTTAAAAAAAAATGATTTTTAGTTTTGGGTTATTTTCTAGTATTTATAAACAACGTGTCTGTAACCCATTAGTTAAGTAAATGCTTTAAAATGGGTGTGAACAAGAATTTATTTTAATTTATTTTGTTATGATTTTATTCTGATTGTTTCATTTTGATATTTTAGTCTACAAATAAATATGACTTCTAAAGTTCAGTTTTTTGCTTTATTTCAAGCACCTACCTATCTACCTTCAAAAAAAATATTATTAAAAAAACATGATCCAAAATGCCTTAAAGGGCGCCAAAATCCTTTTTTGCACACAGGCGCCAGTAGCCCTTACGGGGGCCCTGTCAAGCATGCTGTGCATTTGACGTTTGTCCTAGGTTCCTATGTAATTGTTTTAGTTGTCAAAATCAGTACGTAGATAGCTAAACTTCGATAATTATATTATCAAAATATCTGATATCAGCGATATAGAAGACTTACCATCGACTCCTTCACACATATTGTAGAAAGCAGAAAATGCAGTGCAAAATATTTTTGCCCCAAAAATCTATGGTAATACCAATACCCGAGATAATACCATTAATTACAATTTTGAAGAATTTTTTATAGAAATACGAGTAATTACTGTTATTGTATTCAATACAAATATAAATATAATATTTATAGTTCTTGATTATTTATCGGGTGTAGAAAAAATAGCGTATGCAACTCTCATGTAATGGTTATTAATACATGATCGTTGCATAATATACTATTATCGCACTGACGTCCAAATATAATTAAGCGTCTCATCTTTATTTTTCCTAATGCGTTGGTTAACGTACTGTTGTCACATATAAAAGATAAAAGAAACAGCCAGGTAAATGTATAAACTTACGATCCGCAAAAGAAGGATTTCTGTAAAATATCTTCCTCATGTGGACATCATATCCACAAACAACAATGTAATGTCCCTGATAAGTTGCTGGCCAAGGAATGCATTTTCTAAATTCGCTGGAAATTTTGTTAAATTTACAAATATCACAACTCAAAACTTTTGCATTTGTTAAAACTATCACAGGACCATTTACTAGATGTGCTATGATATCGATTATGGAAACGGGCTTTTTCCTTACAAATATTCCGCAGTCTTCTGCATCTTTAAATCTAGTGTTTACCCTATTTTCATCCTGAAACATCCAAAAGAAAGTTAATAGTAAGTTATTAATATTTTTCCTGTTTCAAAATGCGTGTATACCTTATTTAAAATGCTATGATAAAAACTGTTTCCTTTATATCCTTCATGAACGCCTAACGTTATGGTATAAAAAATGTGTGGCACATCGAATTTTTTCAGTAAATAACAGAGATCTATAGTCCAGGTGCTAAAATTAAATAATGTTATTTAAAAATGTTAAATTCTGGAAATCGATTTTATACCTTTTATTAAAGCCTTCGTTTTTGCATATCTGCGAAAAATTATTTAATAATTCCTGTCTCTTTTTCTTTGGCAATACCATAAGGATGCATGATATTCCGCAATCCCAATTTGATTTTTGTTTAAAATGAGATAGCTGAATGTGTAATTTTTCTGGTTGTCCTAAAAATATATAATAATATCGATTAACATGGATGAACTAAAGTATTTGATAAGTATTTCCTTTAGCCAAAATATCGTGTTTGTATATCTATGTGTCACCTTCATCGGGTGGAGGATGAACAAATTTAAATACATAACACATAAAGTATTGATATAGCTGTTATAAGTTTAATTTTTAACCGACTTCATAAACAGGAGATTCTCAATTCGTCGTAATCTTTTTTTACAATATTTAATTTTTTTTAATAATTTGTTAACCAAGTCCAATGGATTTCTTCTAGTGGAAATACATTAATATTCATTTTTTGTATGTAACTAAGATCATTGCAGATATTCTACCAACTCTTATGATTTTATGCCTGAAAATGTATAAGGTCGAAAGCGCTTATATCTTTGAAATTTTTTTTTTTTTTTGAAAAATCTTATAAAAATTCCCAGTGGTTGACAGAGTGGATGATGAATGTTACACCTTCTGTCCAGTTTGAGATCATTTATTTTGTAGCGTTCTATGCAATACCAAAGAATGGTTCATCTGGCCCTATGACCGAGTTCATAGAGATTGTCACAGCAGGAAAAGAAATTGGCACAAACAATATCACTGAATGAACATGCTCATCTATGCAGATAGCAGGTGAGTAACCCTGGACAGCCCACGAATTTACTTAGGGTTAGTACTAGAATGTCACGAATCTTTGACCGATGTATTCATCAACAATGTGGTAACCTAAAGATGGATAAAAGGTCACGCCACATTGAAAGATCTTAATGATTCACTAGCCAAGAAGGCAACCAATCAAATACTTTTTGGACCCTGTTCTTCCATTGGACTGTCAACATCGCTATTGACAAATCCAATTAAAGAACATTCCCTTGTGAAATTCAAGGAAAGATGGGATGAAACAAGAAGCTGCAGAGTTGCCAGGAAGCTTTTAAGTTATCCCGACTACACCAAGGCAGATTCGCAGTATTTGTTACTTGCCTGTGACTAGACAGAATCTGCGCCTAATCACAGGCATTCCGACTGATCATTGCCAAGTATGGAAGCATCTCCATAATATAGGACTGTCAGAATCCACACTCTGAAGGGGGTGCGAACAAGCAAATACGACCATCAAGTATATCCTCTACGATTGCCCGACGCTCTCATTTATTAGAAGATTTGTGTTCGGCGAGTATTGGTGTTAACCGGCCGATATAAGAAAAGCACCTCTCGGCGACATTGTTAACTACATCAAACTGTAGGCTGGCTGACAAGCTAAGAAAGACCTATCAATTTAGGAGAATACACAAATGGGCCTAGTGAGACCTAAGTATCGTGGGGCACCCCACCGTCCACACATTACAGATATGAACTTGATTACTTTTGTAGCGAACCTGTCAGCTTTTTCATGTCTCTCTATACCGCTGTGTCCCGAAATCCAGATCAAAGCAACTTTGGTCAGGGCACCGAGGCATCCGAGGGCAGTTACATAATTCCAAACCAGTTTTGAATCAACTTGGTTGGAGCATAGAGCTTTAAAATGGTTGCCTATTAATTGTACTTATTTGATATTATTCATTAATATTATATTAATCACAATCTGGCAACGTTGACTTGAAAAATCGGATGATTTTTGATGAAAAATCGGATGATTTTTGATGCGCATCCAACGTGCGCGTTAGTACATATCTTTCCTACAACTTTACCTTTTATATTTTGCAAGAGGCCCATTATGTTTTGTTTTTATTTTTATTACAAGTTTTTGTTTTCTATTACCTACTTTACAAAGTACTTAAACGTTAAAAAAATTAGAAATGAAGCCTGTTTTTTTTATTGTTTATTTTTTAAAATGAAAAATAAAAAGTGGATATGTAAAAATTTCAAATTTAATAGATACGTACCAATTTTTTCCTCTAGTACAAAAAACTACAACCTATAACTAAGCGCAGTGTTTTATTTTTCAAAATAAATCATAAAATGTATGTACATGTTATATGTATATGGTATATGTATCCCCTACATATCTCCTAACTTTTGGATAGATCATGTCCGGGTTTGGGGAAATGAAAAGTTAGCAACCCTTCTAAAGTGGCACTTTGAAACAGTAACAAAGCCTACACTGAGCACGAGGCTAATCAAATCACAGTAGTTGCTGATGAAAAAATTAATTCTCAATAAGTCAATTTTCTGGTGTTGTCATATTTTATTGAGAAAACTATTTTATCTACTCCAACATGGATATTAGCTATTCTACGTACAGATTACATATAAACGAATATATTTCATATTCATTCTAGTATTAGTAAAAATTTGGTCACCAGGCTACTATTTTAAAAATGTTTAAATAAGTTACAATTCTGTCAAACTAATGGTCAGTATAATTTTTTAGTTATTGAGATTAAATACAGTACTTATTATTTTGTATTAGGCATAGCCGTGCTGTGAAACCAACATGTGGCAACTACGATATCTCCGCTATCGCTGGTTATCACTCGCTTTGTGACTGATATTCGTTTCGGCTAATATCGCACTACCATATCTTCTAAATTTTAGTCGAAGACTGGCTGTTCGATGTTGCCATTTTATTAACTTATACAGGGTGTTAAAAAAAAAGTGTCACAAAATAAAACGGGGTGTAGTGTGGGCCAAAATATGCAGAAAAGTCTTAATAAACATATGTCCGCAAATGAATGGTTTCAGAGATACGGAGTGTTTTGTGTTTGTATCATTTTTTGATTATCTTTTTTCATTCTCAAAAACTTGCTTTTCTTATCGGAGTCTACCGATGTTTTTTCATAGATACTATTTGCAGTTATTACTTTGTTGTGGGTGAATAATTTTATAAATTTTCGTTATGCCTGTTTACACTAATATTGAATTAGCTGACATGCATTTTATGTACGGCCGTGCAAATGGCAATGCGAGGGAAGCGCTACGTCAGTATTTTAACATCTCATTTAACTCTATGTTGTTATTGATTATTTATAAATATCATTGTTTTTTTATAATTATAAAAAATTGTTATAAACACAAAATGGTCCGTATCTCCGAAACCGTTAATTTGCGGTCATATATTTATTAAAACTTTTCTGCTTATTTTGGGTCATACTATTCACCATTTCATTTTGTGACACTTTTTTTTTAACACCCTGTATACTCGTCGTATGACTAACACGAAAAAAAAAAGCACTGTATAATTAAAAATGAGTGATTATTGTACATAATCGACAAATAATAGCATTCCACAAGATATATTCGCCTATATTACTGAGGCCCTTCCTATGGGGCCTCAGTATTACATTCGTGCAGACGAAAAAATTTTCTTACCCCCATTTTTTATAACTTTTTTTCATTTTGATCCCGAAAATGCAAAAAAAAATATTCGTCTGGTCGTCTGTGTATATGTATGCCGGCTCTTGAATAATCCTAACTACTTTAATATCAATTTTCTTAAAATCTGCATGTGCATTTCTTATGTGACAATTTTAGGAATTTCAATTATTTCTAACGTCAACATTCCTAACATTCTTAAAATTCCATAAATTGCAAACATTCTCTAACGACCTGTCAAACAACAGCTGTTGATAGTAAAGGTGAAATTTCTAAGGCGGGTTGCGACCTTCATACTTGCAACCATAGCCATTTTGGAGGCTATTTTTATTCGAAATTAGTAGCCAAGCCTGCCAATTTATGAAAAATATATAAGCAATTTCTCAAAAATGACTTTTTTATGGTGGTGCTAACTTAAGCGTACTATTTCCCCCTAGCCACAAAAACACCTTCATCAAATTTACTGGCTCTTTGTCGCAACCCCATAGAATAATTAACCAGCCATTTTATTTGACAAAAATCAGAATAATGCTTGGCTGTGCCTGTCAAGTATCAAGATGTCAACTGTGATGTGTGAATGGCTCTTAAATGTTAAATTATTTAAAAATGTATACTTCTTTTGGATATTTATTGCAAATAATTTGTAGTGTATCATAATTCATGGTTTTCCATAAATAAAGGTACAGCAAGACATATAATTTAATGTTCTTATACAAAGCACTTTTTTTATTATATAAAAGAGAGGGTAGGAGATATAATGCTGGTTTTTTCTTTGTAGAAAATTTTTATTATACGATTTTGGATTACATATTCAACCAGCGAATTGTAAATAATAATTAGTAAACTTCTAGTCATAAAGTTCTTCAATAAATAAAATTTAAAAATGAATCTTCTTACCTTGGTACCAAGGTATTTTGTTGTGTTTTTTAATTATAAAGTTTCATTTATTTGTAAGTAGTTGAAAGAAGGCCTTTGTAAATTACATTGCTCTCTATGGATCTACTTTAACACAAAAATAGTTTTGTGGCTATAAGTTTCTATTACCTATCGTCGCAAAACTATTAATAATTTAAACATAGTAAGTAGTAGTAATATATCAAGTAATTTTTTAAAATAAAGTACATGGTCTCAAAACAGAAATAATTTATAATAAATGCGGGTAAAACGAGGGGTAAAATAACAATGAAACAGGACCGGTTTAAAGAGTATTATCACAAGAAAGTATATCCGTTCTGTTCATTTATCAAGTATTGTTTGAGGTTACTTTTATTAATTTTTTTTAAACCTTTAATAAAAGTTGTATTTTGGGGGACTTTTAGTGATAGCTTGCCGTACATGAAAGGTCAGATTGGCTTCTTGTATTACAATTTTTACTTTCACTATCTGTATACAGATATAAGAAAGTATAGGAATCATGATTTTTGTCGACTTCGAGTTTTCGACGGGATTACGTTTTGAGGTCCCCTGAAACCGTTTTGACTATTTTCGCGATGGTGTGTGTGTGTGTGTGTGTGTGTGTGTGTGTGTGTGTGTATGTGTGTGTGTGTGTGTGTGTGTGGTGTGTGTGTGTGTGTGTGTGTGTGTGTGTGTGTGTGTGTGTGTCTGTGTGTGTGTGTGTGTGTGTGTGTGTGTGTGTGTGTGTGTGTGTGTGTGTGTGTGTGTGTGTGTGTGTGTGTGTGTGTGTGTGTGT